GGATTTAAACTACAATTTTTGGGATGCTCCAATGATTATTAAACATAAAAGTGGCTATCTAAAACATAAGAAATAAGTTTCTCTAAAAATTTCATACGTCATTCATGCCGAGTCACCGCATGATCTCCGATTACTCTGAAAATGTTAAATAGGAGTGATCATCTCTAAGAAATACTCGGTAAGCTAAACATGCTATATGAACATAATAATCATTTAATCATGCATCCTTATATATTGCCTTCATAAATAAGCAAATCAATGATCAAACGAACTACTTAAAGTTCTGATGAGTTTCTGCGACATTCAGTTAAGCATATAATCTCTTAAAGTTCTGATGAACCTCTGCGACTATCGGTTAAACATATAATTTCCATAACATTGACATTTAAGAGGAAACATTAAATGTACTTCATATACTTCATGAATAAACATAATGAATAACATGTATGAATGAAAATTAAATTCATATAACGATCAAATTCTACCTTAGCTCGTGATGATGAGGAAGTGTCTATGTTGAACCGAATTCCTTTGCAATTGAATATTAAAAATGACTTACACAAAAGAATCAGTTGGCCTATGATATTACTGATGAAATGTTTTTAAATGGCGTGAATAGGAAGCTGTGATATTCTATAAAAAAATGGAAACTAAAGTCCCATTAATCAAAATTTGTTGTCCAATTGGATGAGGACTCCTATTAATCCTTATCAACCCAACAANTAATCAAAATTTGTTGTCCAATTGGATTAGGACTCCTATTAATCCTTATCAACCCAACAACATAAATTAATAAATGGTTCCTTAGTCAAACAGTGAAACTCCACGCCGGAAATGATCAAATTCAACCTGCCAAAACTAGTTAATTGCTTGATCGACTTAAATTAAAATAGGACTCCTTTTGAACTGCAATAATTTAGGCCTAACTTATTCGAAATAACTTTTTCTCGAATCCAAAATTCTCCATTTAATATGAGTTTCGAAACAAGCCTAATATCGATATGAAATTTCTTGCTAGATGAATACTTTATTATTTGGCCGAAAAATAAAATTTTGAAATAAAAATTATTTTTAATTTAGTCCATTGGTATCTCAAAATTAACAAAGCATGTCAAGATGAAATAGGTGAAAATTTATTTTCGGTTGTTACAATTTAAATCTTAAGACTTCCAAAAGAAATGAGTATTAATCTTCACAATTAATACTCACATTTTGCAAATTTGAAAATCCAGAGAACAATTACAGAAATCTAAAAAGAATTAAGGGACATGTTCATCAAACTAAAATCACAAGTTCTTAATTAATTATTACAAGAGCTTCTGATAACTCTCCACCAGTCCATGGCACTTCAAACTTCAATACTCCATTACTTGCCCATTCAAACTCTATGCTTTCATAATTCAACATAATCTTCTTTGGCTTAATGCTCGAGTAGGCCAAGAATTTCCCGGTCCCCTTGATTGTTATCGTTGCCTTACAATTGTTCTCATTGCATCTGTACCCGAGGGACTCAATTGATCCACCACCGTTAAACATGTTTACAAGTCCGATTGCAGCGAATTTAGCATTTGCAGTGACTTTGTAGACGGGCGAGAATGTCATTATTTCGAAGGAAGTAGGCTTGAGAGTGACTTTTATTTCATCCCTCAATTTCATCAGGTAAAAGTTTTCGGCTTTATTGAGGTAGACTGCGAAAAGCTCGTTGTCCCGGAATTCTGCTGTGAAATCCTTCTGTTCCCACTCAACGTCATTTGGGGACACTACACCAGACATTGTCTTGTAACATTCTGGATGAGCCTTGCACTTGTGTTCTTCGGGGTACCATCCTGCTCCTTGACAGTTGAACACTCCAACCACCCCACCAAACTACATTAAACAAAATTATCCCCTTAGTGGGTATTGGTAAACAGTGTTGGACATGACTCAATATTATAAGAAATAAGATTTTTCTTTTTCTTCTTTAATAGTGTCTAGTGTTGATAATGTCATCCATACAAGACTATCATCATAATATATAAACTAACATCAAAAAATCAAGAATGGGTTGGCAGTACCTTGTTTAGGTTCCAAAGTTTAAGCAATGTTTTGCCATCGAAGAGAGGGTTTTCGAAGAGGCAGTCTCTAGTTGGAAGTGCATAATGCTGGCATCTGAGAATCGTCCCATCGGGTAGTACTAGCTTCCTTAGAAGATCGAAATTGTGCTGTCCAACTTTGTCACTAACATAAACTGGCCCGCCACATATGGCCCTTGATCCTGCATGAAACTCAGCACAAAGATGATCTGATTGAAACATATCCCAATCAGGTTGAATAAATTGTCCCTGCCACAAGCTGTTGTAACTGCAATGTATCATGTGAACTCCTTGTAGCCAGTAAGTGCCCATCGGATCACCATTAGGATCCTCGAACCAGAAATCATCACCTACACAGCACATAAGAGAATAAGTGCACATA